TGTACGCCTTCTGTCCTCGTCCCTTGGTCGTCCGCAGCATCACAGGACCAGCGTAGTCGACGCCCGTGTTCAAGAAAGGGCGTGCTGGAGTAACTCTTTGTCTCGGTAGATCCCCCATGATTTGAAGAGAGGGCGCCGCCCGCCATCGCAAGCAAGGTACGCAACGGTGAATGAGGCTCTTGACTAGAGCCCTGCCGCGAGGAATCCAATAATGCTGCCGTATCAATCCCAGCGTGGCCTGAACTCCACCATGAAGAGTACCTCGATGACAAGCTTCGATGACGAGTTTGGCGAAATGAGACTCGCTCGGAAGAATCATTGGATGTTTCTCGTCATAGGCCAGCAGTGCGTACTTGATACGTCCCCCGACCCGAAGCACTTCCAGCTCATCCACAAAGGGGCTTAATTTGGTGAGTACGCACCCTCTGGGTAGCGGTTGATTTTCTTTAATGTTGTCAATTTCTTTCCTCCACCAGGTAACCTGCGTTAAACGGATTAGGGCGTGACGGGCCTCGTCCATCTCCTTCACCGATAGCAACCGGTCCCTCCCAGGAGTTTCGTCCGGAGGCAGACGGATGACTCGCAACCAGCGACGGCACCAGGCCACCACTTGCACTAGCCGGTTCAAGGTTGAGAAACGAGTTAGCAGCGGCGCCTCGTCAGGCAGCTTCAGAACATTGCACTTGACGCGAGTCTCTGGCAAGTCTCGCTCGACAGGTTGAACTGAGGAAGGCCATGACTCGTGATCTGAAGAAAGCCATGGAGGGCCCCGCCACCACAGCGGATGATGGACCAGGTCGCTCGGGAGTATTCCCCGAGAGGCGCAATCAGCAGGGTTTTCACGACCTGGCAAGTGACGCCAATGGGCGTCAGGCACCATTCTCTGGATCTCGGCAACGCGATTAGCGACGTACGTCTTCCAGCGTGACGGATGTCCATGAATCCAGCCCAGTGTCACTGTGGAATCTGTCCAAAGATAGGTAGGAACATTGTGCAGCCCAAGCACCGACTGTACATGGCAAACAAGTCGAGCGAGCAATGCCGCACCAGAGAGTTCCAGACGAGGCAAGGACACCTGCTTCAAGGGAGCCACCTTGGTTTTTGCCATCACTAATGAGATTGCCACCTTCTCCGGTGTTAACGTGCGCAGATACACTACAGCCGCGTAAGCGTGCTCCGAAGCATCGCAGAATCCGTGAATCTCCTGGCTATCGTGGGAAGATTCATTCTGCAGCCATCGAGGCACGTGTATTTGACTTAGGAGAGGGAGCTTCTCCTGGAAAGCTCGCCAGAGTTTAGCCTCTGCCAACGGATCATCCTACTCGAGTCCTTGAAGCCACGTGGTCTGAATGAGGATCTTCGCCCGGATGACCACCGGCGCTAGCCATCCAAGCGGATCGAACAGTTGAGCTGCTTGAGACAAGACAGATCGCTTGGTAGGAGTCGAGTCCGAAACAGCCCTGCAAACGACTGAAAAGTGGTCGCGAGAAGGGTGCCACCGCAACCCGAGCGTCGAATGGCTCTCTGGAAGAAGCCAGGAGAGGGAGTCTCTCTGCAGCCTATCCTCCTTTGGGACGTCCTCCAGCAGGTAGATGTTGTTGGCTGACCACTTCTTGAGAGGGAACCCGCCCGCCGAGCAGAGAAGTGAAAGCTGCCGCTGGATCTCTTTCGCCTCCTGGTAGTTGGCGGCGCCAGTGAGGATGTCATCCATGTAGACATCTCGGCGCAAGATGGCAGCTCCCAATGGTTGATGATTCTCCTCGTCGTCGGCCAGCTGCCGCAACGTTCGCATAGCTAGGAAAGGGGCGCACGCCAAACCGTAAGTAACTGTATTGAGCTGATAATCCCTAATTTCATCGGCCTCATCATGACACCACAAGATACGTTGCAGATCGCGATCCTCCGGGTGGACTTGAATCTGTCGGAACATCTTCTCAACGTCTGCGGCAAGGACGTACTTGTGCAGACGCCATCGGAGAAGGACGTCAGCCAGCGAAGGCAGTAAATTCGGTCCTGGATAGAGGTGATCGTTCAACGACTGACCAGAGGCAATAGTTGACGAGCCGTTGAATACGACTCTTAGTTTGGTGGATGAGCTTTCTGCCCGCAACACGCCGTGGTGCGGTAGATAACAAGTTCGCCTTGAAGTGCGACTAGTCGGAGTCTCTGCCATTGACATGTGTCCCAGGTCCTCCTATTGGCGCATGAAGTCGCAATAAAGAGTGCGCATTGTCGAGTCTCGCTCGAGCCGCCGTTCAACATGCGCCAGCACCCGGGCTGCCGTCTGCCGTGAATTGGAGAAGTCAGGAAGTAGTCCAGTGACTGGAAGGCGAACCATATACCGCCCGTCAGGCAGTCTGATGTGCGTGCGATTGAAGAGGTCCTCACACTCCCGCTCTTCTGGCGTCAATGGAGCAGCGGCAACAGGGAGTTCTTCCTGCTCCCAGAAACGTCTGACCATCATCGAAAGATCATCACATATAGTGCACTGATGCGTATGTACGTACTGACTTTTAATATTAGCATCGGCTGCTCCTGAGATTATCCATCCTAACGCTGTGTTCTGCCCCACAGGCTCGCAAGGACGGCCTCTCTTTATACCGTCGCGGATAATAACCGCATGCACGTCGGCGCCGAGGAGTATCTCAATCGGGTCCGTCGCGAGGAAATCCGGATCGGCCAGCTCCAATCCGCGCAGGTGCGGCCAGTCACGAGCACTCATCCCACCGCCGCCCGCGTAAATAGTGAGGCGAGGCAAGATTAGCGCGGACGTCATCATCGAAGGTCCGTCCATCCTGGATGTAAACTCGAGAGAAACCCGGCCACGAGCGATCGCCGTCTGCTGACCGCCAACTCCGAAGATAGCAATGGAGGCATAAGAGCGCATCAATTTCAGCTTCTGAGCGAGTGCCTCGGAGATGAGCGACGTCTCAGAGCCTTGGTCGATGAGAGCTCGCGCGGTGTGCCGAACGCCGAACCTATCAACCACGCGGATCACGGCCGTAGCGAGGAGAACGGTTGGCTCACTGGGCGACTGGCCTGCCACGAGTGACGTCGTGGTACCCTCACAAACGCGATGAGCGTCGTGCAACATGGAGTGATGCCGCTCTCCGCAAGCGGCACACGATCTCTTCGACGGACAATCACTAACCTTGTGCTGGCCGAGACAGTTGTTACAGAGATGGCTCTCTCGCACGTGCTGCACCCTCTCCGAGGGCGACTTCCCTTTGAAGACCTCACACAGCATCAAGGAGTGCTCCGCTTGGCACAGTGAGCAGCGACCCTTCCTAATTTCCGGCTTCTTGGCATGGTGTGTATGCGCTGGCTTGCCCTTCTCAGCATTGAGCTTACCGGATCCGCTGTCCGACTTTCCAGGGTGTACAGCCTCCAATATCCGCAGCCTCTGTTCTAGAAAGGTCCTCAAGGTGGAGTAAGATGGCGGCTCCGCGGTGCCGCTAAGGGAAGTTTCCCATTCGCGCCGCGACCGGGAATCCATAAGTTCCACTATGAAATGAACGAAGAAGTCCTCACTGCTCGAAACCGGACGCCCAACACTCTCCAGCGTGCCATGAACATCGGTCACACAATGGAATATTTTACGTAATTCGGCAGCCGACTCATTTTTCATTTTTTGCAGCGCTGAGAAATTAGCTATGCACGATCGCACTAACAGACGCTTATTCTCGTAGTATTCTTGGAGCGCGGTCCATGCTCGTGTGTAATTCTCAGCGGTGGTTGGCAAATTCTTGATTAATCTAGCGGCCTCCTTCTCCAGACAAGACTTTAGATAGTGCAGCTTTTCCACATCTGTAGTGGATGGATCGCCGTGCACAATGGACAGGAAAAGATCTCGGAATGCTGGCCAATCCTCGTACTTGCCGGAGAAGCGCGGCAGTTGGATGCGTGGTAGCGTAGTGCGTGAACGTGAAGTAGCTAGCGGCACGGACGATCTCACCTCGACTTGACTGGAACTGCCGGGATTCTCAGCCGCGGACAAGGATCGCCTCATCGTCATGAGCTGAATACGCTGTTGCAGGTATGTCTCCTCGACCTGACTGACAAAGTCGTTGTTCCAATAATCGTGAGCTTGTAGGAGGTCCCAGTACTTGGAGCTCAATTCGTCGTGCTGCTGCTCGAACTTAGCCCAGCAACTGTCTAGCCGTAACAGGCGATTATCGATTGCATCGATCGTAATGTTGGCCATACCGCTTTTTTTGAGATTGTCGATCGTCCTCGCGATGCGAGATTGCAATTCGACTTGTCGTCGTATGAGAGCTTCATGATCCATACTCATATTGTACTTCTTCCCAGGTAACTACACAGGTAACTTCACTACACTCCGTATCCAGCTTACTCGCAAGGATTACCTCGTAATGTGGCTGTACGCGCGCCGGGTAAGAAATCCGGCTCGAAGGACCAGAAATGTTCGGAAAGGTTTCCGATTTCAAGAGGAAAGAACGGGAATACGAACAGCACTAATAATCGACGCGATAAGTTTAACAGAAGTCACCTTTTATTTCTAAACAAATTGAAATTAACAATTACTGCAAGATACAATAAAGACGCGAATTTAATTGACTTTAACTTTTCTAGACGACACTTACGAAAATAACGCATTGGCTACTTCCCGCACTCTCAGAAACGCAACGACGCTGAGTTGACTCCAACTTTTTCAAGACTACGTGCCGCATTCGAAAAAGACGGTGGTTTATAGTTAGAAAGCGGTCTGGAAACTTCGATCGGTTTACCGGCGGAAATTAATATGAATATTATCTCACAAAAGAAATTTCTAGATCGCTTTTTATTTTGTTATTCCTTTTGAGGTGACCGCCGAGTTGGCGCCCCTCGATTGGTCCGGTACATCGGCACTTGATGCGCTGGTTGGTTATGCTAGCGCTTACGATTTCTTATCGCAGACTTCACTCATTGGTGCGTGAGAGGCTGCGCCGAGACATAGGCTGCGCCGCGCTAGATTTGACTCGCGAAACTATAGTTCGAATTACAAGCTCAATTTCGAACAACTGTCAAGAACGCTTGACGGAAACCAAGAACACTTGACCCCCTTTTCGCGTCGGAACACCGGAGCTAGGATCGGAGCGGAGTTCGTAATGGAGCGGCGGTTAGGATAGAAGAGAGCTCCCGGAGCAATAATTACGCGTTATATACTAATTATTGCTCCCGCTCGTTTTATTACGAACTTTTCCGTTAACATTCGGCGGTCGGCAATCCCTGCGGAGGGGATTGTCGATCGGCGATGTTCGGTCGCGTTCGGTCGGAACGGCGGATAGCGCGAAGCGCAGATCGTTCGGCGATCTTCGGACGCGTTCGGTCGGAGCGGCGATAGCTACTGTCGACGGCGGTAATTCTAATATCGCGAAATATGAAATGTTTCTGGCGGCTGATATCGTCGGAACGATGCATTGCGGAGTGCATCGTTACAAGACCACAATTGATTCATAGATGTTGCTTAAGACCGAATCTGAAGCTAAAACTTGGGACCATGCTTAATTAAGAAAATCTCATTCCATAGTGAAATCTTAAGTACGACTCAAGATTATTAGATGCATAATCATTGCTTAACCCAGCAAACATAAATACATCACAAACACGTAACTCATACATAATCTTAATTTTTTGGTTCGTAACAGTTATATCAAAAATTACGTGAATTTGCGGAGAATGTTCTCAAATTTGTCGTCCCATTTATCTACAGCAGTTTTATAACAGTGATATGATTTTAATACGAAACGGTGATATGGTTGATATATAACAATTATGTACTGATATGAAAAACGCATGTAACATTTATGCAATGGAAACTTATCACTATGACATAACAGTGATATGATCTAAATACGAAATAGGGACATGGTTAATATATAACAATCATGTATTGTGATGAAATGCATATGTAACATTTATGCAATGCAAAACATGTCACTGTGACATCACATATGTGTGAAATAGTTATTTATTTAATATTTATACAGGGCTCGGCACACGATGCATTTTTCGGCCGATTTTTAAATCGGTTTTCCGTCCTTTTTATTTCATCAATCCGCGCGCAATTTAAATACCGATCGACATTACGCGCGGATTAAAAATCGTATTAAAGAGGTTCGTATTAAGGAGACGGGAAACCGATTTGAAAATCGGCCGAAAAATGCATCGTGTGTCGAGCCCTGTTTTACAAACTCGTCCTTACCAAAGCCAGTTGTGCCAACAATCAAAACATACTAGTTTCTTTTTCTTCTTTTATAAAGTAGGTAACCAGTATACCGGTCAACACAATTTAGCTTTAGTGTAACAACGATGTAATAAAATATATACAAATATGTGTATAAAGCATGCATTATATATCTATAGTATAAAAGAGATTGATTCACGTTCCAAAATTTGTCTTATCTACATTGTTAAAAGAATAATTTTGTATACTTATAAATAAAAAAATATTTCTAAATTTCCAATGAATGTAGTAAGTCGAGCAAAAAATATTTTGGAAAACACAACCTCTTATATATTTTTTAAGTAATATTGATGAACAAATACGTATATGTGTTATAAAATTAATTTATTTTTTAACATCACATATTTTTATTTATAATATAATGTATGTATTATATACCATAAGAGTATTATAGTTCCTTGAATTAATTAGTGTCGTTATTGTTAATATCATCGACTGCAGAGTTTGCGTTTTTTTCGGTTTTTTTTTGCATCCGCGTATACTTTTGTGTACCTTGACGGAACCATTCTCTTCCTTCAGTTTCAAAATATTTGTCTGTGCAATTTGGAAATGTCTCGTACAGTTTCTACAAATATATAAAAGTAATTAATTGTGTAAAAATTGAGGCAATAGTTTAAAATAAAAATTGAAAAATTTTTAAATTTATTTCTACTTTAATATTATAATTTAAGAATTTAATATGTCTTTCAACATATTATTAAGATCCATGTTAGATGCTATAAGCATCAAAAATTGTGATATTACTACGGTAGTTAATTAGATTTGCGTTTTAAGTTCGACGGATGTTCGGCGCGCAAGGGGGGAAACTACTTACGTAGTATGTAATATTCACACTTTAACATATCTTATATATGATCGCACTAATAACAGCAAATAGCTCTCATTAGCCTTACTATTCTTGTTATTTGAAAATTTAAAAATATAAAAACGCAATTCCTACCTTTAATAATTGATATTATTTTCATATCGCCCACTTTAAAATTGCCTCGTTGACCACACCAGGAAGAAGATTTGCCAAAGTTACTGAAAAAACTTTAGCCAGCATTCTTGTAATATATTCTTTAGCACTGTTTCCTCCTATATGTTTCAGATACTTTCTCTAAAATTGAACGTAAACTTTATATCTTTATCAAAAATAGTAATGATGATAACCTACGATAACATTTGTACTCAGTCTTTAATATTTAATCTGTAATCTATCGAATGAGTACTGTTATTATACATATATTAATCAATCTGTAACCAGAATACATATATGAGTCCTATATAGTAACACTGAGTTTCAACAAAATTTCAACGTATCCTTATGTTTTAGACAGCATAGAATATTTATGATAAATATTTATAATTATATTACTAATTAATTTCTTTGAAATATGAGTATTTTATATAAAGCTTTATTCGAAATATTATTAAAATATAGACAACATATTTTATGTAATATTTATAACAAATATAAATAAACAATGAAGGAATTAAACGCCTATAACGGTCAAAGCTGGATCAAAGTGCTAATAATAAGTATAAGTGAATTCTTATACACCACATATGTAGCCCCCCCTTTTAAATGCGCGCTGATACATCAGACATATAACGCATAAATACTACAGTAGTATTATAATATCACCGAATAATACTTGATTAATTTAAATATAAGGATGATAATTTAAAATTCGTAAATACATCGGATCTCAATAATCTTATTCTTTATATTACGAAAAATATCACAAGTTGGCGTTTCGTCCCGGTTTCCACTACTGGACTCATCAGTAAGGCAATGTAATGGAAACCTACCTTAGACGCCTTGGGGAGATGTTAGAAAGAAGTTCCATATAAACAATCACTCACATAATTCGGCACTTGCGAGAATTGGAATGAGTAACTATAGACCTCTGTTGGCTAGTCGACGTAGTGATATTCTTCGTAATATTCTTAATATTTAAATATGTAATTAAATATTAAGAATATTACGAAGAATATCACTACGTCGACTAGCCAACAGAGGTCTATAGTTACTCATTCCAATTCTCGCAAGTGCCGAATTATGTGAGTGATTGTTTATATAGAACTTCTTTCTAACATCTCCCCAAGGCGTCTAAGGTAGGTTTCCATTACATTGCCTTACTGATGAGTCCAGTAGTGGAAACCGGGACGAAACGCCAACTTGTGATATTTTTCGTAATATAAAGAATAAGATTATTGAGATCCGATGTATTTACGAATTTTAAATTATCATCCTTATATTTAAATTAATCAAGTATTATTCGGTGATATTATAATACTACTGTAGTATTTATGCGTTATATGTCTGATGTATCAGCGCGCATTTAAAAGGGGGGGCTACATATGTGGTGTATAAGAATTCACTCATACTTATTATTAGCACTTTGATCCAGCTTTGACCGTTATAGGCGTTTAATTCCTTCATTGTTTGTAGACAATTTACGGTCGATACAAAAATTAAATAAATTAAATATAAATAAATTAATTGATTTACTTTTTTACGACCGACTGCTGCCAACCGAAGGTTGGCACAAAAAGGAGGAGTATGCGTTTCACCGAAGCGGATCGGTTGTCACCTAAGATCTCCGTAACTACAATATATATTCATATCAACTTTTGGCTACAAACTTCTTATTGACCAAGCTTGGTTTAAAGCATATAATTGCCATGAATTTCTTTTCTATAATAAAGAAGTATTTTTGATCAACATGC